TTACAACTGACTACAACTATTATTATTATCACAACTATTACAATTAAACATTTGTTGTTGGTTGTTTGGTGTGGTTTTTTTCCTTTCGTGTTTGCTTCCATTTGCTACTTTCATGCATAAGTATATTTTAAAAAATTCTTTTTTCAGAGAGCTCAAAGACTAAAGTATGCTCTACAAAAGCTTGCGTCAGCACCGGTAAGTTTTTTGTTTGCATAGATTTGAATTATAATATCTCAGACCCTGCACTGTCATGGCCGACCCCCTATTTCCCCCTCCAGACAAAAGTTGAAGTGAAGTAAGCGCACCACAGTCACCAAATGAAGAGCAAAACACGACCAGTCTCGCTGTAGTCAAGCTACCCGAGAATTATAAAGATATGTTTTCTCAGAATCTAGTTTTGAGAAATTTGACGATAAAATGTTTGATTTTGACAACATGTCAAGCTTTATCGAATGCAATTCTTTGTATAACGACTCGGAATAATAATATTACTGTTTTGATGTAATAGAAAACAATTATTCTGGCTTCATGCTTTTAATTACTCAATATGACCAAAATTGTCAGAAAGAGCTTTGTGATTCTGAGGTAGCAAAATTGTGCTGATTGTGGCATCTTTTTTCACTTGCCTTTTATTTGGCTCATTGACCCTGTATGGTGACCTCCATAGTGAACCGGAATTACGTCATAGTGCACTTTCTAGGGTGTAGAAACACGAGTCTATGGTTGTCACAATCCATGAAGTTGTTTTTTTTTTCTCTTTTGTTTTGTCTTTGTTTGGTTTTGTTTGCTTTGTTTTGTTTTTAGGGGAAGGTAGGGTTTTTTTTCTCTCTCTCTTTTTTCTCTATTTTTTAAACGCTTTTGATTAATCAAGAAGTCGAAGCCCACAACTTGGAATCTCACTTCAAAGGTTCCTGTCAGTTGTCTGTTATTTTTATCGATTTTCAACACGTCGTTCTGTTATCATTCTGTCGTAATCCGGGCGAAAACTCTCCGGGTAATTTAATACCTGATCACACCTGAAAGGAAACAGTGAAACGCTTCATTGTCGGTGTGTTTGGCCTCTGGCGGGGTTCTGGCGGGGAGGTCTTTAAAAGGAAGAGATTTGGATTTTGTTTTCAAAAGCCTTTTCTTTTTGCACAGACACACACACACTCACACACACGTAACTCTC